TGTACCATTACCAGTAATTGTTGTACCATTACCAGTAAGTGTTGCACCGTTACCAGTAAGTGTTGTACCATTACCAGTAAGTGTTATGGTGTGCCATACCATTCAAAGCCTTCAGTATGTGATAGCTTGTGGGCTCAATGCTAATAGTGAAATATCTATTTTAGGTGGACTGGTTCCAACACCAATGACCGAGGTAACGATGGCCAAGGCTTGCTTGGTACAGACAGATCCAATGTGGTCCCATTACGATACAACGAGTGGTCAAGAAGTTATCCAGCTAACATATCTACCGCTTCTTTCCTGGGATTTAGTGAAAACGATCTTAAGAATCTCGCTCTTGTGCGGCCAAGTAAGTCATCGAGAGACTATTGACGTAACAAGGGTGTTGCTGTTTTTTGACTGCTTGTCATTGTCGTTGCTATTATTGTCATTCTTATTGTCTGTTGTTGTTACTGGGTGCTTCTGTTGCTCATGTTGTTCAGGGTAACTAATGCTTTTTGCTGTTGTTATTGTTGCTTTTCCTACTATCATTGTTACTATAAAAACAGATCAAARCGTTTGATTCAATTCTTCAGATCAACTTCARGGGGAAATCTCCTTACTAGACGATGCAGGAACATACTTTGACCTGGGACCAAGGATGGTAACTGGAATAGGGACATATTATTACATGTCGACCAGGAACAATGCTTTCTCCAATCGCAGCCAAAAGGGCCGGATTATCGTGAAGAATCCTGACCGTGTCATAAGCAAGAGAGTCGGTTACACTGGAGGCAGCATCACTAATCGGTACAAGCTTCAAATCAGTAACTTAGTATAAGAATAAGATAACATCTGTAGACTAAATAGTTAAGAGTGTTAGTGGGAGAGGGAACGTTCAAATTTCGATCAGCAACCCATTACTAGAAGTATAATGATATTTTATGTTCATTTTATGATCAGTTTGGTTAAGCCGTACCTTACTAATTGCAGCTTGTAGTCCTCAACTTGCACGATTACTCGACAAGAACAAATTTTCACGAGCATTCTCTACACYTGTTCAACTCTCCCATTTGCACTTTCTTACAAGTTAATTTTGTGATTTCATTATAAGTTGAAAATTAAARTTTCTGAATGGACACTAAATGTTGTTTTGTTGTTTTTATCTGCGCTGGAGAGTGTAGCACTACAAGAGAATGCTCGTCTGTCGTAACATCGCACTCTATTCATTGAAGCCGATACACATACGCAAATAGTTGGCCGGGGCCGGCCAGCACATATACACCCAAATTTTCTTGCTTGAGCAAGCGTTTCTTTTATGTTATTCGATTGTCCGTCTGCATGTGCGATTCACATAGATTCTAAATGGATTTTTAAAAGACTCGCTAATATAACGTAATTGACGAGTCATTGCGCGCATCACGTTCTGAGACTTCTGATTGATTGGAACTATTGGGTGAAAATGTAAAGTTTCAACAGCAGTTTTCTTGTCGCAGGGGCATGAAAGTATTCTTTCCTGTCGGTTTCCTATCCAAACGAGAGGACGTCAGCGTTGAAGAAATATCCCACGCAGACGGCGAAAYAATGATTCAAAATGAAGGAGGYGTARTYCCGCCAGGGACTGGGTACGCCAGCCCGTACTTTATGTTGAGCRCACAYTCTGAACTGGGCTGCGATTCAAATCCAGCTCAAGTGTTCCTGAGACTTGCTAGGGTTAACGGTGTCYATGTGTATCATTCCTCGGAAAAACTTYGCTATAAGACGTGGCATAAAGTCGATGCCAAAATGAGCATCATGCATGCATCATTCAACACTGCACACGGTAAGGATTGGTCGAGGGGGATTGGATGATGTTGATAATAACAATTAGGTGATTCCGATGATTATTAGTGGTGATCACCATGGCTACAGTAGAAGGAATGGATGATGATGATCAATAGTTCTTAAGCAATGTTATATATAGTTCGGTTAATGATTAACAGAATCTAACAATCGGGTTACAGCAGTAAATACTTTGGTAAAATAACATCGTTATAAGTATTTCTTCACTAAAATCGTTATTTTCTRATCAACAGGTGGACTGTTCGTTGCCAGGACAGCTAGCAACCCATCGCTTCCCACTGTTTAATCTCCATTTTTGCCATCATGATTAATTCGTAATATGCCACATACAATGCATTAATAAAATAATTTGCACTGATGTTGATTTATTCRATTGACTTATTTGTACTTTTCAATTCTACCAGTTTAAGTGCATTTCTTTTGTTTAATGACTTGTGTCGGTATTATATTTTCGGCCTTTGGATGGTTTTTCTGAACTCCGAACCTAAAKATTTGGRGATTTCACGACTCGCGACTAATTTTTTCGAATCACGGTTAACTAGATTACTTTCAGAAATTTTTGAAATGGGTTTTTCATTACTTTTTTCATAATTTGTTTTGTGACAGAGATAGTGAGTGTGGGAGCACAGTGTCCCCTTGTACGTTATAGACATACTCGGTTATTATAATTTTTTTATCATTACTCTCACATGTCAAATTTTGTCCATACCCTGACTTGTCTGCAGGACTTGCAATTACTGCCTTCTTGGTAGGTGCGACCCATTAGAATTTTGAGGGGATAGGGAGGGAAAAGTGAAAGATTTAGCGAAAACAATTCCTGAAATAATTACTAAATGATTCTGCAGATATTGCAAACAAACATTAATGTAGGAAGCTAATCAAAGACAACAACAAAAAGAAAAAAAAAGCAATATGAAAAAGGAAAAAAACTTGAGTCATGGGATTCGAACCCAGGACCATAAAATCGAAAAAAGGTTGGGACGATTCCCCCGAGACATTCTGTGAAGCTGAGGCGGCGAATCGATTTACATTCCGNTATTTATTTATTTTATTTTTTATAATTATTGTCAAATCTTTTACAACTTTATTAGCAATCTAAAAAAAGATGTTCTTTTTCGAGCACCTTTGGGTTTCTTCTTTCGGCTTCCGCTCAATTAAGGTCTTCGATGCTCTAAATGAGCGGGAGTCATTTAAAATGTACGAAACAACAAAAATGCTATCAAAGTAAGAAAAAAACCCTTTATAAGTTTATTAGCAATCTAAAAGATGTCGTTTCATATTATAACGTTCTATTTCGAGCACCTTTGGTTTCTTGTCACACTAAACGAGCGGGAGTTTTAAAACTTGCGTATCTGTATGACATTTTCATCCGTCTGTGAAATACAAATTGTACTATTAAATACTATTACCCACTATTAGCTCTAAATAGTTTAACTTATGACATGAGACAAACTGGTGCCTCTCGTCACTATGTCATCGTTTTGAGTGACCGAACCGTAATCGTCCATTTGTAGTAGGCGTTACTTCCGAGTCCTTGATATGTGTTCATTGTTACAGGGTTAAAAGAGAAAATCTCTAGGAAAAACAAACAAACAAACAAACAAACGAAGTAACACCTGCAAAGAAAAGAAAGAAGAAAAGAAAACAAGAAACAAACGAAAAAGAAACAAACAAGCGAAAAAAAGTATGGAAATTTTCCGCCTAATAAAAAGTTTTTTTTCAGTCGCGCAAAGACTCTCGGATGCTAGTGTCGTGAGACTCGTTTGAGTCAGTTTGCAATAACAGTTATTAACTATACTGGTAGTTAATTATCGACAACTATAAAACCAACCTCCCAGTCACCCTGGCAATAGACCCCTTGCAGTTCATGGGAATGCGGCTCCAACTGGAGGACAAAACAATGGATTCTAGTTCCCAAGAGGTTAAAAATCTTTTGTTTTGTCCTCCAGATGAAGCTGCTTTGACGTCACATGCAAGGGGTCTATATACGAGATGAGTTTCTAGACAATCGTAGTGCGATTTGCTTCTTGGGTTTCCTGTGTATTTCGAAATTGGATTCCAGACCTCCATTTATAACGCGTCCAATATGGTGGGTAAATACACGTGAAGTTTTAGTTTGGGTTTTCTTTTAATCTTTTCTTGTTAAAAAATGTTCCAAAAAAGAAAATATTTTTCTTAATTATGTAGTTAAGACGACAAGCAAGGCTCAGGCGAGAGTATCTRTATAGGAAATCTGTGGAAGATCAAGAAAGATCGATTTACGAGAAGAAAAAGAGACTCAAGCTTTCACTTACAGGTATGGATGGACTTTGTGCATTTTGTGTRCTGTCTATGCAAGGCCAGTTTTAGTTTATTGAACTTTGYTAWACCGTTTATTTGARAGAGGGAAAACCAATCCCGACTGAGCTAAGGAAGGATGAAGCAGAGTTGAGGAAAGCTATCGAATTTGATGATGAAAAGCATGAAAGTAAGCTGATAGTGTTTGATTTATGAAGCTCTTTTGAAGTATATCTTTCTTGAATGAACGAGTTTCTTCTGAGTTGAATGTCTTCAAACAAAATCTGACTAGAATTGATACAAAATTTGGTCTGTTTTATGGTTGCATTTTTTAATTTTCTTTTTGTAATGGAACACKTACGTGTATCTCGAAGCTTTTTCTTGTAAGTGTTTTTAATTTTGTTTATCTATCCCCATCCCAATTAAAGGAGTAGGTTCCCATATTGACGATGAGTATGCATGGGCTGGAGTTGAAGACCCCAAAATTATGATAACAACATCACATAGTCCAAGCTCGCGTCTGAAACAGTTTGCAAAGGTAAACAACACTGATGGTTGCATAAGAAAACAAGTAAATAATAATAATAATAATGTATTTGCTTTTCAGGAAATAAAATTGATATTTCCAAATAGCCAACGGTTAAACAGAGGGAATTATGTTATGAGTCAATTAGTTCAAGCTTGCAAAGCAAATGGTGTTACAGATCTTGTTGTTGTACATGAACACAGAGGAGAACCAGGTACTTGCCTTGTCAATAAACCATCTAGTCATCAACCACTTGGGCAGTCATTCATTCAGTTTATCATTTTACCAATCTATCAGTCAATCCATCTATCAGTCAGTAAGCAAGATAATCCATCAATTAGTCTGATAAAAGTAGATATCATCTGARAAATAATTTGTTTTCTATTTCAGATGGTCTTGTTGTTTGTCACCTTCCATTTGGTCCGACCGCATACTTTACCTTGTCTAATACAGTAATGCGCCATGATATTCCCAAGACTGGAACAATGTCAGAGGCTTTTCCTCACCTTATTTTTCATAATTTTAAAAGTAAACTTGGTGAAAGGGTAAGAATATTGTTGTTACAATGGAATGTAAAAAAACATGGTTTGGATTAGTCTCCTCATAGCCATTCTTAGTGGTTGGCTCCCTGTTCCCCCTGGATGTCTGTGAGGAAGTAGTTGTATCAAGGACATTTGGTAAAGAATATTTTTTTTATAGGTTCAAAATATTCTTAAGTTCTTATTTCCTGTACCAAAAGAGGACAGCAGGAGAGTAATGACTTTTGCCAATCAAGATGACTACATCTCATTTAGGTAAGAGAGCTCTTTGATTTCATAATACATCACAGATAGTTATTCCTTGGGTTGTATTTCAGACATCATACCTACAAGAAAGTTGATGGGCATATTGAACTACATGAAGTTGGACCTCGTTTTGAAATGAAATGTAAGTTACACCATAATAGAATCACTTTGTGTTTATAAACTCTTTCTTATTATCCTTTCTACAAATTCATGTCAACACATTATAACAAAGACTGAGTATTGTAAAGTATCAGAGAGTATCGAGATTAAGTAAAGGAAAACATCTTTTGATTTTTTTTTTTGATTGGTTATTTTGAGTCAAATATTAGATACCATTGTATTGAACCAGTATTTCTGGTGTATTCAATCAATCATTCTCCTTTATTTTGTTTTAGTATATGAAATAAAGCTTGGRACTGTGGACCAAACAGAAGCAGACACAGAATGGAGACTAAAACCATACATGAACACAGCGAAGAAGAGAAAAGCACTCAGTAATCAAGCATAACAAGTGTARAATATTTAATAGGATTAGAAGTGCATTTACTATTTCCAGTAATAAAATCTATTATTTCATTTTCTTGTTTTCTTCTTCTTCTTGACTTTATCTACGGCTGCTTTTGCGGCATGCAGTTCATTGGATAACTCGTCTGAAGATAAAACAAGTTTACTAAATCAAAAATAGTCCAACTGAGTTCATTTCCCATGTAAAATGTGTGTTAGCATTAGATGACACAGTGCTTAATGTTTACATTATGAATCATGAATCCAATAATAGCCTTAACAACAACTACCTTGTAATCCAGGTACAACTAGTTTGCCACTCTTTGTTGGGAATTTGCCACTAAATCCCTTAGGTAACACAGGTGCTTTAACCATGGCTGTCAGAGATGCTGTATAAACAAATAAGCTTGCAGTTAAAAGTGTTGAATTCATAGCTGTAGTCTGTTATTAAGTTTTTAACCAAGATTCAGACTACCTTTCATTTGTTCCAGCTTCTTTTGTTGTTTTCTTCTTTCTGTTGAATCTCCTATATCCTCAAGTCTGGAGTTAATTAAGGATACATAACATTGTTGCAATAATGAGAAAATGTGCCTACATTACTAGTATTAAATTAATGTATGTGTAGCCCAAAGACATGGGTACAGAGAAAGAATCATAATATGAAAAGATACAGGTCCTCATCAACTTCAATGTCCATTGCTTTAGCAGAGGAGATAAACCAGTCATTAGAGGATTTCTTCTTGTTAATCCTATTAAATATATAAGGTAGTTTGTGATTAATAACTAAAATGGAACTGCTCTTCTACATTAAAAATGTAAGTCTGGAAATAAGTGTCTAGTTAGGTGACATTTTTTTGACAATTCTGACAAATGTATAGTCCTCACTTGTTTTCTTCTTTATCAATCTGTCGTGCTAGTGATGTTCTGGATTTTACATCCGAGAAGTAAGGTATATCAACTGGAAATGATTCCAAATCTTCACCTGTAGACAGCCAAGAAATATGATGAGAAAGATAACAATAAAATTGACTTTTAAAGATTGTATACATGATGGCACATTATGTTTGTTTCATTAGAGGACCTACAAAAACATGGACATCTAGGTTGTTTGTACAATGTAGCTTTCATCAACAGACAAAAGGCYACTACAAGGTAGACACCATGCTGTCTTACCTTTGTTTAGAGTTTTCATAATCTTTCTGTAAGATGTAATATCATCTGGTCCAACTAAAACAACACTGAGACCTTCYTGTGAAGCTCTTGCAGTACGTCCACTACGATGTATGTACACTTCAGGATCCTTAGGGACTTGATAGTGGATAACATGTTGTACTTTAGGAATGTCTAAACCTCTGGCAGCCACATCTGTTGCCACTAGTAAACCTGTCGCTGATGATTTAAACCTGGTATATGAAAGCATAATTTGATTATTGACTGAATAAGCTGACAAGTCACCTTTGATAATGAATTTAAAATACTAAAATCTATCTGATTCAACAGTAATCTTAATGCAATTCAATGCAAAGTGTCTTCCCATCTTACCTGTCCAAATTCTTAAGTCTCTGTCTTTGTTGCATGTTGGCATGTAGAGGTAGAGGGTTAAGTTTCAGGAGTCGCAAGATGGATGTCAATCGTCTTATACAATCAATAGTGTTGGTAAAGACAAGAGTCCTGCCAGGGTATTTCAGGAGGAAATAATACAAATATGAATCCTACAAAAAAAAAAAAAAAAAAAAAAAAAAAAAAAAAAACAGTACAAATATGTTACAATCAAATAAAAAAAAAATAATATTTTAATGCAATGTGTATGCAATGAATTTTCAAACCTTGTCTTCCTTTGTACAAGTCAGTTTTGCTTCAGTTAATGTCTCTACTGTTCCTTTCTTTGTGGTCACATCAACCACTTTGGACTTTTTCTTGTCCATCTTCATCTTGTCCATAAGAGAAACTGACAGAAACAAAGTACATTTACTAACATTACTTCAACAAAGACTAGGCATAAATCTTCCACTCTTTCTTGATCCTGGGCATCTAACCTCGATATAATCTGAACATTACTACATATAGTTGTATAAAGTATTTTTGCTATSTACACACGAGATTCTCACCAAGCAGTTCTTCTCTCGAAACTGTGGTTTCTTTTCCTCTTRTCTTGAATGACTTTGGCAAAGTTAGTGTAGCAGAGAACACAAACTTTTGCAGCCTTGCACTTGGTGGCACTTCTAGTTTGGAGTTTCAATGAATAAAAAACATACAGATCACAATCATTATAATTCAGGATTTCAATAAATTACAGTATTACACAACTAGGCAAGACTCTTGACCTAATGACAAAACCAAGAATACTAACTTATACTCACTTTTTGTCTTTTTATCATCATCTGGAAAGCAGCTGTCAAACTTATCTTCACTCCTAAACAAAACAGAGAAGTCATTGCACTCCTTACAATAGATTGATTAATCCAGTTGTGTTCATTATCAGAGTTTCAGTCACTTAATCCAACAATATGATGCTCATCATAATCCCTTGCCCTATCACAATAAATCTTACTTTTTCATATGGATGTGGTCTAAAATAGAGGAGAGTTCTTGGAAATGGCCATGTTCAACCATTCTATCAGCCTCATCAATAACCAGGTATCTTAGGTTTCTTAATTCACTGACATGATCTTCATTCTACAAATAAACAACACAATGCCAACCAATCCATCGTATACATGTAAAGTAACATCAATTATCATATTTCTTACAGTTGAAATAAGCTCCCAAAGTCTACCAGGTGTTGCAACAACAATCTCTGGTTGCTGTTTAAGGATTCTTTGTTGCTTCTGTGCTGCCATTCCTCCAACAACTGCGGCAACCTAGAAAGTTAAATACAACTTACTCTTTATACAAAAGCACAACTAAGACTWTCATAAAATGTCACAAAGGTCTTGCAGACATGTACAACTAACCTTGATTGGGGTATGTTTAGTGGCCAACACCAAATGGTCTTTGATCTGTAAAGCCAATTCACGAGTCGGTGTCATGATGAGAGCTTTTAAAGGTTTTGATGTAACAGGTTTATCCTCAGCATTTTCTTCTTCTGTTGTGACTTGAGAGTTTTTTGAAGCCATGATATGATGTATTATAGGAATACCAAATGCTAGTGTTTTACCAGAACCCTAGAAGAATAGTATACGTACAAATATGATGATTCACATAAATATTTACCTGACCTTTTGAAGCTTATAATGACATAAAAATGTTAGTCATTATTGAAGAAAATTTGATGAATAATTGATTAATGGGTTTATTAGTTGACTGATATGTTAATTGATGAATGATTGCCTGTCTTATTGTTTGATTGACAGATTGTAGGAATAGTACTTTTATTAATCTACTCACAGTTTCCGCAGCACCGATGATGTCTCTATGATGCAATATTGCAGGAGGAATGGCAAGAGATTGAATAGCAGTTGGTTGCGTAAAACCCTGCTCACTTAGAGCTTGCAGCACATCATTAGAAACTCCAAGGCCTGTCCATTCACTCATGTCTACAGAAACGTCTGCGACATACAAATAAATAAGATGTTTCTTGTAATTATATGTTAKTCATGTTTATGACTGCGCACAGGTTAGTAGACCAGGCTATAAAGATCATCAAGGATACGTGTATCATTTTGATTTTAGYAGCCTTAAAATCTTARCAAAACAAATCATAGCAAAATCATATTTCAATACCTTGATCAACACTGTCATCGCCACCCTCGTGCTGCWCAGCTGTTTCTTSTTGTTCGGGTTCCCTGTCTACTGTATTTTCGACAGTCTCCTCAGAAACCCTTGATTTCTTCTTCTTTCTTTTCTTTTTCTTTTTAGYCTCACATTCTTTCTTGGTCTTTTTCCTTTCTGTTGATTCATTGACTTTCAAAACACGTGAGCCTTCGTCGTTCACGTCCAGACWGTAGTCAAAACACTCTTCAAGCGACACAAAACCCTCCATATTTCCACTAAAAAACGCTGGATTGTCGATAGAAACCTCCTTCCATTTTCGCTTTTTACCCTTCTTTATTTTATCAGCCATCGTTGATGTAGAACYCTTCAAAAATAGTCAAAAAGTTTAACACTCGATTTTATCGAAGACGATCCACCATATTGGCCGTGAGTAAAAGGAAAYACTGGGTCGACCATGWGCAAAATGAAAGTCCGCTGACCGACCATAAYGAAAATTGAAAAGAAAAACTGCAGAGCTGTGAAAATTAGAAATTATTGCGTTGTGGAAATTATAAAAATGCCTTCGCGCTCTTTTAAAGAAGAATGCGATTTCCTAGAACGAATTTCAGACACTGCATTTCTTATAAAGAAGGGTTTTGTGCCAAATATGAGGGTAAGTTCGCAAAAGTCAGCTGAGAAAAGAAATAGAACTGATCGAAAGGAAACTCTTTGGCTCTTGCATAATACTTAAAGCTTATTACATGAGCTACTGTACATTCAGATCATGTGTCTGTAAAGGATGTAGAACGATTGTTATTAAGATTATGTATAAAACCACTTTTAGCGCATATTTATGTATAAAGGATTTACTTGCAGGAGTTTCTTTATAGTTCTGATAAGTAGCTTATATTATTTTTTCAGGTCCCAGGGAAATTTTACATAAATGAGACACTAGAAAAAATGATGTTTGATGAACTTCGTCATTGGTGTGGATCTTCAGGTACTTTCATTAAGTGATACAGTACTTACCCCCTTATAAGAACCCATTTTTTCAATTGGTCGATTTTTCATTGAGCCATACCTTAACTGTAACTGTACTGTAATGGTATACCTACCAATGGT